AATATTTCTTTCTATCTTGTAGGTGTCAAGCTTCAAAGAAACGTATTTTGCTTCAGCCATCGTTGTTTCTTAGCTTGCCAACAGGGGGGAGGGGGGATGATTGGAATGCTCATCGCAGGTCTGAGTGGTCTATCATGAGAACCAAGGTCATCGGAGAACCGTTGGTTGGAAACTGAAGATTTTTCTTGTAACAAATGTCTGACACTTAATTAAGGAATGTGACCTGCACTATTAGGGGGAAGGGAGGTTCTATACTTTTAATTTACTGTACCATTTTAGCCAGAGCTGGCTTTTTATTTATCAGTGCTGATATGCTGTACTCAATAAAGTTTTGCATTAGAGATTGGAATGTCTCAGCTGTGCTTACTTTGTTGGGATCATCAGTCAGAACTTTGACAGTAGGATTTATAGAAAAGAAACAGGATGGTGATGACAATATTAATCTCACTTGCACAGCAAGGATTGGAAAGAAAATAGTACTGGAAATTACATTGCACTATAGAGTCCTAAAAAAATTCATTTACCTGGTTTGGACATTTGAGTGTTATCTCAGGTTCAAGTCTTTGTATTATTGTCTTTTCTGCAATGGGTTCCAACTGTAGTAAATAATAAGAAAAGATGTAGGGCATGGAATAGGAGATGAAAAACAAAAGATGCAGGAATGGATGCCATAAATCATTACAAAGTGTAATCCACAGACCTTTCGGAGAATAAGATAAATCAATATATAATTGTTTTTTGAACTATAACTATCTAATCCTGCAATTTTTAGTATATTAAAGATATAATGCACAAAGGAAAGAATATTGCAGCAGAACATCTGGTTCAGTTCCTTTCCAAACAAAAGGATTGCATTTTCTAAATTCAGTAGCTGAACTATTACTCCAGAAGAAATATTGCAGGCAGTTTTGCTGTGTATCCTCTGGAATTGCAGTACAACCAATTACCCATTTGTGAAAAGTCCACCTCATTCACTTCTTGGAACCATTAGATCAGGCATGTCATGCTGCCAGCCCGTGGGCCAGATGCATCACACTGAAACTGCGGCCACCCCATTGCCGGCAATGGGAAAAAAGTCACGATATGTTGCGCGACATCATGTGACATCACGAGTTTGACATGCCTGCATTAGATGGAATGGTAATTTTTATATTTTGCAATTTACTAGCCGGAGAAGAGGGAAGAGGGTCTATGACAACTCTCCATAGCCCAATTGCCACAGCCAACTCACTATGGCCAACTTGCCATAGCCAACTCGCTGCGGGACAAGAATTACACTAATATCAAAGAAATAATCCAGTAGAATCCTTAAAGAAAGGATGCCAAAGGAGGGACAAAATAAAATGTGAATGACAAAAATTAAAATATTTTTTTAATTATTTTAAATAATTAAATTGAATTGTTGAATTGTCCCACAGTGAGTCGTCCCATGGCGAGTTGGCTATGACAAATTGGCCATGGAGAGTTGTCCCATTCCAGAGGGAAGAAGCACCTAAGTTAAGACGATTCGTGGCAACAGAGTTGAGGACTCTCACAAGGGTTGCATGCATGCAATTAGGAGCATTTGTGTGGCAATAACAGTGGCTGTCTAAGGTAGCATGAAAGTATCTTAACACAGACTTCCTAAATCTTATCTTCCTAATAATCTACAAGTGGACATCCAGTTAAAAATCCATTGTGACACTACATACACAATGAATGTGATTCACCAATATCTTTCCATAATCAGAAAACAATTGACTTTCAGGATGGGTATGTCCTGTTAGTTTTTCCTATTGTGGACATTATAAAGTTTCAGTGCTTTTTACTAGCAGATTTTCTTCACTTCTCAGAGTATAACCTTCTCACTGTTCCTGCCTATAGCATAAAACAAATGCCAGTTCTATAGATGTGAAAGATATATATCAGGTTCTCATTCAGTTTTTTTCTTTGCTTTGCTTTTAAATTATTCTTAGATTATGATGGTTGTACAAAATGTCCACATTCTCAGATTTATGAATGGGATTAAAAGAAAATCTTCTAGAGCAGGGGTCCTCAACCTTGGCAACTTTAAGACTTGTGGACTTCAACTCCCAGAATTCCTCAGCCAGTTTCTTGAGGACCCCTGTTCTAGAACAATCTCTTACCATGTTGTTCCACAGCCCCCGAGCAGCCTGGATATGAGTCTTCTGGCTGAAATGAAAACAGTCTGGCGCAAAATATGAAGCATCTGGAAGCCCATCCTAAAGTAAGAATCAGACATTATTATTTCCATAAGGGCAACTCTGCTGATTTCTTCCAGCAAAGCAAATATGTGTTGCTGGATATATTTTCAAGAACTAGAGCCACTTCACTTGAGGGACAGAAAAGAACCTGTAAAAATGGAAACAAATGACTATCCAATTCAAGATACTCAGTCTATATATACAGAATAAAGCGTAAATATATGCTGTACACAACAAGCTTAATGACTGTCGATCACAACAATTGTGAATACTGCTGAGGCTACAGATCCATGAAGATACTGTGTTATCCTCTTTGAAGAATTTCTTGGTTGTTAGATATATATCCCATCTTTCTTCTTGAAGCTGAAGGTGATATATTATATTGTGCTCCCTTTTCGACTTTTGTCTCTACAACTAGAGATAAAGAGATTGGACTGACAAAGTGTGACTTACCCAAAGTCACTTAATTATCTTTGATGACTGAGGATGAATTTGAATCAGAATTTCCACAGTCAGGTCCTATATCTTAACCACTATATCTTACAGGTTATCTATATATAGCAAATTGAAATCCAGTCCACACATTCCAAGAAATGTGTGATTTTTTTTTAAAAAAAAATGCTTAATGTGTCTAATTTTATTTTGAAGAGATGGGAAGCAGAATAGTGATCTTTGAGAGAAAGTTGGCAGAGTCCTGCAATATACATACCACAACATTTGTACAAGAACATCTTTAAACTTTTTAACTGATTAGTTTGTGCATTTTAATGAAAAGTGTATTTTTTATAAAATTCGACTTAGGATGAAAATAGGGCAAACAAATTTACTCAAATGAGAAATAAATTATATCTGAACACTATTAAAGAACCTCTTAAAAGTCTGGTAATTCCAAACTGCAAGTATTGTCCACTGGCTTTTCCAATTGCTCTAGGAGCAATTTACAGTCTTGTAGCCCTGTTCAGGTGATACATTTCCACACCAAATTCAACACTTAAGTAGATGTCATTGAAAAACTAGTGTCAATGGATACAACATGGTTCTCTTCAGCCAGGACTCTTTGTTGTCACACATTAGTTTCCATATGAACTAGAAGACAATATTCTTTATGTGTTGATTATGGGAACATATCATCCAAAGAATAGTAATACCCCATAGCCACAACTAAGTTGATGTGAAGACTCTATTTTGGGGGATTTATTACATACAAGAGATTGATGATACGTTTCTATTATGAAAATCCTGAGCAGCTCTTGCACAAGAATAAAAGCAAGGACTACTGGACAAATTCAGTGTATCTAATATTCAAAGTACACATCTTATCTATTTGAGTATATTCTATTTTAATTCTCACTAATAAGTCAAAGCCCCAATTTTCTTCAGTCTTATTCTAGCTTTCTTTGCCAAATTGTCTTCCATGTCCGTGCTTTTGGGTCATCAAATAAATCTCCCTGTGTTGTTATGTATATTGTTTGACATAGAAAAAACCATCCGGTCACCATTTTTTTGAGAGGACTAACAAATTGTCTCTCTATTTTTCCATCTCGACGTAGTTGTCCTGAACTGTTTATCTTCTCTTCAATCTGTTCTTCTTCTTGATCCTCAGGTTTCTTCTGATTTATATAGGAAGTCTTTTCCCTTTTCCATATTGTCAGTCCCTTTTCTGGGTTTTGCATTAACTGTATTTGTTGATCAGTTGAATCTTCTGTCATAATATTTAATTGTTCCACTTTTTCTAATATATTCTGTGTAGTTAATTTTTTAGTTGTAATCAAAGTTTGAGTTCGTATATTTGGGCTGACATCTTTTTATTTTCTGTAACTTCTTATTTCATCAGTAGCTGTAATAATAGTTTCATAAATTGCTTTCAACATAAAGAGAATCTGTTCCTGATCTTCACCCATATGCTCTTAGTAATGTATTAGGTTAAAAGCTTTGCAATCAGAGAATGCAAAAAAAAAAAATTTTTGTCACTGAGTATAGAACACAGCTGGGCCTCTCACAGCTGATATCTCAAGGTTACAAAAGTCTTATCTATAGTCTGGGCTACTGGCCAAGTCTCTTTTAAGCAATAACAAGTTGTAATATCAGGTTTAGCCATAAGATGTCACCCATACCATTTAAAATTTTCTTTTAAGTCCAAAATGTGTATAAACTTTTCAATTTTACTTCTTTTTTGTAAGTAAAAACCCAGATCTTCAGTAAGAATAAAAAATCTTTTAGTCTACAAACTTAAAAAAAATAAAATTCCAATTAGGATCAAATTATTCTTACAACATTTTAAACTCCCCTGGATAGTCAGTCACCACTGTTTTTAGAGGGAGGGATAGAATCTCCCTTCCCTCTCCACAGGGGGGAAAGTACTTTGAGCAGCTTATGCAGGTAAAAAATATAGTTAGGATTTAAGAGAGGTAGATCTCACCCAGTCTCATCCGCGCTGCTTTATAGTTGCCTGATGGTAAATGTGACTTTGGCTGTCTGCAGCCTAATGACAAGCCATATTTCTATGGCTGGTCTTTCGTCCGCTGGTTTGGATGGCTGCCCCAGATCAAGCGGAAGGGCTACTGCCCTCCCACGATCAAGCAGGGATCCCCTCCTTGCTGGTCACCCCTACAGGGTGACTTTCAACCCTTTCCAGGGTCCCCCAGCAAAGCAAAACTGGATGTGGAAGATGGAGCTCGCCTTCCAGATGGCCATTGATATACAATTTAGTCTGCTGACCATTAAATCATAGTTGCTTGCAACCATCATGGCTTTGCTATCCTTCTCCTGCCCAAATAATTCCCAATCTCACCACATTATGAGTTGGGTTCAGACACAGTCAAATGTAAATGAGACCATTGAACTCAATGGTATTTAAGTTAGCTAGGTCCCACCTATGATTTACAGTTCTCAAAAAGATAGCACATGTATACATTTGTAGTTACCGGAGTCATAGGCATTTCTGGTTTTTCGAAAAGTGGCTGCACAACCACAGTGAAATCTTCTCTTGTGTCATACCTTCCACTCTTGATTAAGCGATGCGTTTCTTCCTGGAAAAACAAAAACCCATTATATTGCTCCTTTTAGAGCAGCTAAACAGTGAAATGACAGGCTGATATGTCTGTCAAAGAGATGTCAAACACAGGAATAATGCTCAATCACTTCTTTATGTGGGGAAAATTGCTAATTTTTCAGAGCATTTGAATCTGACCCCTAATTGTCTACACTCTTATGGACCTTGAAACTCAGAACTAAACTCAAGCCCATTAGTGCTTCCCCCCCCTCCATCCGAAGTATAAGATAATGCATGCTTCCCCATCCTTTGAATTACCAAAGGTCATGGAGTAAAAATTAATTCTTCTCCATCCCACAATTCATCTGATCCATATTTTTCAGTACATGTGTGTTATATATTGTACATTTAGTGATTTACAATTTACAATTTCTCTTGCACATTCATGCACAGACACACATAAAGTTGCTAACGTGAGAAGCTACCTAAGGGTTCAGATTAAGTCCTCCAAAGATTTCCCAACCTGCCATTTCAGTGTTGCCTGTGACTTGAGATGAATTCTGAACATACATTCATGAAAAACCAAAAACTCAAAAGTGGAATTTTATCTGAGGTTAAATGAAGTAAGCGCTGAGATGAAAGAAAAGGAGATAATGGCAGAGTTTGTTCCAATAGAAAATAGTCAAGACCTATGGAAATGCAAGCGTTCAAAGAGAGAGAAAACTCTGGTTTTCTGGTTAACATTGCCCACAAAATTTACATACCTATTGTTCTACAAAACAATTAGAATCCCTATTTTTTTTAATCTGAATAGGGAGATTATGTCATAAATCTCCATGATGTAATATGTGATGTGGTCTTGAGAATCTATTCCAAATTCTCATTTCTGCTACAGGCTCTTTTCCTCAGATTCCCAATAACAAAAGAAACTGTACCATCAAAACAATAGCCCACTGCATTTTTGCCTCTACTATAGTCATCTTTTCTTTGCTCACTGTCAAACTAAGTCACATTTCAAAGTCCAAGTCACTGGGCTTTGCTTCTAACCAGACATCTGATATTTATGGAGCACACAGCAGGACATCTGCCTTTTCAAGTCCATTTGTTCTATCTAATACTGGAGGAATTGTTGCATTATTCTTTGTTTAAATATATAATGTACCCCCAAAATGAAGCAATGGACTTACAGGTTTTAAAGGAATTTAAAACAGGTTAAAATAATTCAAGCAGAAAAACAGTCTTGCTTTTCTCAAGAGAGCCAGTATTTTATTGACCAACTATATAACACAAAATATTTTTAAACAAGTTTGATGGAGCCTATTTCCATATTAAGTGTATAACTGCAGCTTTCGGTCAGTTGCACTTTTTGGAATTACGATGTATTTCCATTTATGTTAAACCTTTTTGAACTTGTAAGTAAAGGTGCATAGGATTGAGATGTGTGTTTTATTGATAAAAATTAGGTTATGTGATTATTATCAAAAGTTGGCCCAGCACTGCAAGTACGCTTTTAAATGAAGGTGTGAAAAAGACTAAATGTAATTTTGACATTTTAAGTCACTACTTATTATTTTTAAACTAACTTGCTTTTAATGGTTAAAAACAAATCCTGAAGCAGAGTTGTAAAATGGCAAAAATATCTAATATGTTGATGCTTGGTTTTTAAACGGATGAGGTGTAGAACACTGCTATATGTTATTTATAATAAATTTCCCTTACCTGATATCTTCGATTTAAAAACTCCAACTTTTCAATTTCAGAGGAATTGTCATTAGGTTTGAAAATGCATGGACACAGTGCCCTAGAGGGGAAAAAATGGCACAAGTTGACCATATAATTCTTATCTCAGACATTTTAAAAAGTAGAAATCTGTTTTCATGTCCCAGAACTACGTTTCATGTTACACATGCTGTGAAATGCATCTTATGCTCAAACAATATTGTCTATGGAGATTCTCAAATATGCTGGTCATGGTTGTCCCAAAGGTGTTTTTTTCAAAAGGACTTTATTTTTCCTTGAAGACAGTTTGCTTTTCATCCAAGAAGCTTCTTCAGCTTTGATTGAATGGTTGGAGAATGAAAGGATTTATATTGCTTGCAGTCATCTGCTTGATAGCATTCTTTCTGAGAGTCGTTGAGGCTTCTTGAAAGTTTATCTGTGCCCTTAGGGTCACCTCCTGAATAATGCAAATGGGTGTGGAACCTTCTTGGAACTGCTGAAAGGGCTGCAGTACAATGCAGTGAGACATGTGCACATCTGTACTCTGGAGAAACAAAACAACCACTTCGCAAAAGCATGGCACAACATAGGAGAACAAACCCATCAGGACAAGATTCAGTAGTGCATCTGCATTTGAAAGACAAAGATCACTCTTTTGAAGACAGCAAAGTCCACATTCTGGACAGAGATGACCACTGGTTTGAAAGAGAGGTCAAAGGGGGAGGAATATCACACCACCTATCTCCTGTCTACAACACAGTCTTTTCAGCAGTTCCAAGAAGGTTCCACACTTATCTGCATTACAGACAAACCTTCCATTGGCCTCAATGACTCTCAAAAAGAATCCTAATAAGCAGATAACTGCAAGCAGTATAAATCTTTCCATTCTCCACCATTTGGTCAGAGCTGAAGAAGCTTCTTGGAAGTGAAATGTCTTCAAGGAAAAACCAAGTCCAGTTGCCTTTTGAAAAAGCACCTTTGTATCAAACAATATTGCCTCCTCCAATTGAATTGGTTAAGTATCACACATGATTTCATGGAGAACTGTTTTTCTGTAATATGCTATACTTCTTGGGTTTGAGTCATTGCTCTTTTCTATGAATAGAAGCCTCACAGTGCATCCTTTAGAGCAGGGCTTTTCAACCTTTTCGCTGATTGTACCACTTTTAGAATATGGCAGTATTCGAGTACCACCAGTCACCTAGCAAGGTGTCAAAAACTTGATGACCCCCCCCAAAAAAAGGAAAAAAGTGATATAAAGTACAGGTAGTCCTTGACTTACAACAGTTCGCTTAGTGACTGTTCAAAATTACAACAGCACTGAAAAAAGTGACTTATGACCATTTTTCACACTTATGACTGTTGCAGCATCCCCAGGGTCATGTGATTTACATTTGGATGCTTGGCAACCAATTCATATTTATGATGGTCACATTGTCCCAGGGTCATGTGATCCCCTTTTGCAACCTTCTGACAAGCAAAGTCAATGGGGAAAACAGATTCACTTAACAACTATGTTACTAATTTAACAACTGCAGTGATTCGCTTAACAAAGGTGGCAAGAAAAATCATAAAATGGGGCAAAACTCATTTAACAAATTTCTCACCCCTTCTTTTATATCCTCTCTTCTCTCCCTTTTATATCCTTCTCTCCCTCTTTATATCATCTCTTCTCTCTCTATGGAGCAGATTTGATGACAAATCCACCCCATAATCTATGACTCTTCCAAGACTATTTCTATACCTTTTGATAAATGGTGCGTACTTAGTTTATATTTCCATATCACAACAATCAAAATTAGTAAAAAGCAATTTCTTAAGTTTAAGAAGAGCCACAATCAGCACAGATATTAGAGATTTTTCCCAGTTCCAGCACAATATCAATTCATTTCAAACCTCATAATCAATCTTGGGCAGTAAATGCTCTTCTCCTGATACAATTTCCTCACAGGTATCACATCAAGAACTGTTGCCAGGTTCACAAATGCACGAGGGACCTGCAAAGAGATACATATAAAACAGAATGGGTAGTAGCAGTTTACAAGCCATGTGGTTCTTTTATAAAAGTAATACATAAGAACTGTCAAATGTCTCTATGAGGTAGTGAAGTTGGGAAAAGTAACTATAGCCAGGTAGAAACACTTCTCACCCCATTTCCTCCATTCATTCATTAACTCACAACTTTACTCACAAGCATCCAAGCTGGTGTCTGCAGCTGATTGTGATAACTGAGCCACACCCTGGCATTTTCTCCACTCAGGCCCTTAGCTTGCAAAAGCAAATGTTAAGATGGAGTGAGGAAGAGTATAGGGACAGAGAATAATAGGGTTGAAGGGACCTTGTAGGTCTTCTAGTCCAAGCCCCTGCCCACAGCAGGAGATTCTGTAACTCAGGGGTCCCCAACCCCTGGTCCATGGACTGGTACCGGGCCGCAGCATGCCAGCAACCGGTCTGCAGAAACAAGCAAAGCCCCATCTATAGGATGCAGGCAGCACTCTCTGGTCCATGGAAAAAACTTTGGAGAATAAATTGACTCCCTCTTATCTATGGCAGCCCCTCAAGTACTGGAAGACTGGTATCATATCACCCCTAGTTCTTCTCTTCATCAGACTAGACATACCTAGTTCCCTCAGTCATTCATCATATAGTTTAACCTCCATATCCCTTATCATTTTTGTTGCTCTTCTGTGCACTTTTTCTAGGATTTCAACATCTTTTTTGTATCATGGTGACCAAAATTGGACATAGTATTCCATGTGTGGTCTCACCAGTGCAGTATAAAGTAGTACTATCACTTCATATGAGCTTGAAACTATCCCTCTATTAATGCAATCTAGGGCTGTACTTACTTACTTACTTACTTACTTACTTACTTACTTACTTACTTACTTACTTACTTAATTTATTTATTTATTGCAGCTGAAGAACACTGCTGGCTCATATTTAAATGATGATTTACTAGGACACCTAGCTCTCTTTCACAGTTGCCAGGTACCACTAACTCTATATGTGTGCATTTGATTTTTCTTGCCTATGCGAAGGACTTGCTTTTCCCATTGAATTTCATATTGTTGGATAGGGCCTAGTGGTCAAGTCAGTCAAGGTCCTTCTGAATCTTGAGTTATTCCTCCCCGCTTCGTGTCATCTGCAAATTTAATGAGTTCCCCTTCTATCCCCTCATCTAAACCATTTGTGAAGAAGTTCAAGAGTGCTTGGACCTAAGACAGAACTTTGAGGTACCCCACTGCATGCTTCTCTCCACATACAGTAGATGTAGGTCCATTGAGGACTACCCACTAAATATGGGTGGTCAGCGAATGCAAATCCATCTGGTGGTGGTACGTCTTGTCTATTCCACTTTGTTCTATCTTACCAAGAAGTAGGCTATGGACTACTTTGCCAAATGCATTACTGAAATCTAAATAAACTAAGTCCACAGCATTCCCATTATCCACTAATTTAGTCACTTTGTCAAAGAAGGCAATAAGGTTTATCTGGTTTTTGACAAACCCATGAAAAATGGCAAACAAGTGGCACACAGATGGGGAAGTAGAGACAATATCTGGAGATTGGCAACTATTACAAGCAGGCAAGGAGACTCTCATTCAACTGCCTGGACCACATGCTATGGTGAATAGCATATCCAAGTGGGAGTCCCACTTGGAGCTTTGCCAGGAGCTTGGCAGCTACTAGAAGGCGAGCAACCACACTGAAACAACATCTTAACTGTCAGTAACTTATCCTAACTTTCAGAAGACCTTTTGGAAAAAGGAAAAGTTATATGCTACTTTATAGACTTTGAGGCATTTGTCTGAACTGAGTATTACATGACTGAATATAAAGGACTGAGTGTTAAAGATACATTTATGTAGCAACAGCAACTTGGAAAACCTAGAAGGATGAAGTTTACCCAGAGCAATACTTTGTTGTTGGGGAAGTTGTCTGCTACAGTTAAGCATTCTGTATTGATTTGCTATGCCATGGTGTGTCCAATCCTTGGAAAGCAAAAAACCCTTATAGACCCAATCTTCACAACACAAGAGGCTCAAGAGTCGCTATTTTCTGCTTCAGTGGACAAAACTAAATTGGCAAAGTTTTAAGGAGACACATCTCTT